AACATCAGACTGTCATACAACAACAGACTGTCATACAACATCAGACTATATATATATATATATATTATATATGTGTGTATATGTATATATTATATATGTGTATATAAATATATATATATTTTTTTTCTTTTTTCTCCTGTCTATTTTCCAAATCCACCCTCCAGTCCAGTTGGTGGCGGTAATGCGCTTAAAATAAGTTCGCCTACCGCCAATAAAAAAATCAAGAGAAGAAGAAGAAGAAAAAGTTCAGGCGGAAGCTGAGAGGATAAACATCGATGAACTCGGGACAGGACTGAAGGCAGCTGTAAAATGGAGAGTCCGGAGTTGTCCTTTACTTTGGCTTACGTGGCGTTTTCTCTCTGCTTCATATTTACTCCCAATGAGTTCCGAGCTGCCGGTTTGACGGTTCAGAACCTGTTCTCCTCCTGGCTGGGCAGCGAGGAGATCGGCTTCATCCAGTACCACCTCCGGAGGACCAGCTGCACCGTCCTGGTCCACTCGGTCCTGCCTTTAGGTCTGCGCCGACAACCTGAAAACAAACACATAAAACTCTTGTCAGAGTCAGTCGTCTGTATTTCACAGAGGATCTTTGTTAGAGTCAGCCGTCTGTATTACACAGAGGATCTTTGTCAGAGTCAGCAGTCTGTAATTCACAGAGGATCTTTGTCAGAGTCAGCCGTCTGTATTACACAGAGGATCTTTGTCAGAGTCAGCCGTCTGTCATTCACAGAGGATCTTTGTCAGAGTCAGCCGTCTGTCATTCACAGAGGATCTTTGTCAGTCAGCCGTTAACTGTATCAGCGCATCTGTCGATCACTAGTTTTTTTTTCTTCCAATCATAAAATTGATTTTTGCTCAAGTTTACAACATAAATCGCGGAAAACTAGTCAGTCAATGAGAAACAAACAAACGGATTAATACAGATTAACAGGTAGTTCAAATGGAGTAATTAACATTTTAAAGTTTCCTGTTGATCACTGTCAATGGTTTACGTCATTCAAAATCTAGATTTTTTTTTAACATTTTTAAGTTTAACAAAATTTGAAAATAAAATTATTTTTAAATGTTTTTCTTTAGATTTTAATATTATGAAGATACATTTTGACCAATGACATCTGTAAGTGGGCGGCTGTGGATCAGTGGTTAGAGCAGTCGTCCTCCAATGCAAGAGTTGGGGGTTCGAATCCACCAGCAGTCACATGTCTAAGTGTCCCTGGGCAAGACACTGAACCCCTCATATCCTCTGATGTGATCTAAAGCTCTGATTATTCTCTTTAGAATGATTTGTTCCATTCGTTTTGTAGAGATCTAGTATAGAGCTGTATGAACGGGTACATGAGGCACAGATTGTTGTAAAGATCTGAGTATCTTGATCAGATAGAAAGGTGCCAAGTACAGTCCATTTTAAATATGAATAAAACAGTTATTTCAAGTTTTTTTACCTTTTAAATCTTAATATCAAATGTGTTTTATTAATCATGTAAAACTAAGCAAAACGATCAGGAAGCTAAATAAATAAATAAGTTACCACCAGAACATCCTCTGTGTTAGAGGCATATTACTAACGATGGAGTGTGTTCTGACTGAGCAGAAGTCTTAATCCAGTTTGGTTCGTGTAGCCCTGCTGTGTGTTCACGTCTGTTTCTCATCGTTCCAGGTTACTACGTTGGGATGTGTTTTGCTGCTCCAGACAAAAATCTGACCTCCATTTTCCAGGTAGGTCCGGTCTTTAATGTGGAGCCGGCTCGTCTCTGGGCTCACATGCTGGAGTTTCCCTTGCTTCTAATGTGGGGGTGCAGACTCCTCCAGTTTTGACTTTTCATCCCAGCAACGAGACGAGAGCATCAAGTGGTCCAACTGTCAGCCACGAGCTCTGATCAGACACACGGAGTAAGGCCACTGCTTGGGAACAAAAGACACGCCTTTATAAAAAGCAGGAATACACAGGCGCTGTCATAAAATTAGAATATCATGAAAAAGTTGATTTATTTCAATAATTCCATTCAACAAGTGAAACTTGTATATTGTATAGTAGGGGCCGAGATGATGTAGGGGCAGAGCAGCCGACTCTGGACCCGAAGGTCCTGGGCTCGATCCCCGGTCATTGCACATCTCGTGGTGTCTCTGAGCAGGACACCCAATCCTGAATTGCTCCCCGGGTGCTTACACAGCTGCCCACCACTCCACCTGGGTGTAGCCCAGGTGCAATGGGTTAAATGCAGAGTCAATTTCATCTTTGTATGAGAACAATGATGACAACACATAGCTATTTGTTATATTCATTCACTGTGTGTAATGGGGGGGTCTGGACTTTGTTACAACCTTCCCTTAAAGTTCAGTGTCTTCACCGGCCTGTATGTACATGTCTAATTATGTTGCTTTGCTGTGGGAGGTTTTTTGATGCCTCATATCGTGCCCTGTCTAGGACACGGCGTGAGAGATCTTTTTTTATACCGTCTCTTCTCATGTTTTCTTTCCTTTTCTCATCTAAGCAAAAATATTATTCTGAAGGAGAAGAGAGCTGCGTTAAATAGCAGCAGCTTCGTGCACTACATCCATCTTTTGGACGACTGTACGTACATGTTGTCGTTTGTATCTCGGTGCAATGATGATAAGCTTATTCTGGTTCTGCGTCTGATTCTGACATATTTCAAATGTTTATTTCTTTTCATGTTGATGATTATAACTGACAACTAATGAAAACTCCAAATTCAGAATCTCAGAAAATTAGAATATTGTGAAAAGGTTCAATATTGAAGACGCCTGGTGTCACTCTAATCAGGTAATTAACTCAAAACACCTGCAAAGGCCTTTAAATGGTCTCAGTCTAGTTCTGTAGGCTGCTCAATCATGGAGAAGACTGCCGACTTGGCAGTTGTCCAAAAGACGACCTTTACGCCGTGCACAAGGAGAGCAAGACACAAAAGGTCATTGCTAAAGAGGCTGGCTGTTCACAGAGCTCTGTGTCCAAGCACATTAAGAGAGCGGTGAAGTGAAGGAAAAGATGTGGTAGAAAAAAGTGTACAAGCAACAGGTATAACTGCACCCTGGAGAGGATGGTGAAACAAAACCCATTCCAAAATGTGGGGGAGATTCACAAAGAGTGGACTGCAGCTGGAGTCAGTGCTTCAAGAACCACCATGCACAGACATATGCAAGACATGGGTTTCAGCTGTCACATTCCTTATATCAAGCCACTTTTGAACAAGAGATGGTGTCAAAAACGTCTCGCCTGGGACTGCTGCTGAGTGGTCCAAAGGTATGTTCTCTGATGAAGGTAAATGTTGCATTGCCTTTGGAAATCAAGGTCTCAGAGTCTGGAGGAAGAGAGGAGAGGCACAGAATCCACGTTGCTTGAGGTCCAGTGTCAAGTTTCCACAGTCAGTGATGGTTTGGGGGCATGTCATCTGCTGAAGAACTGTCAGTCATCCTCGTAGCTTCCGAGCACATAAGCGCTCCATGGTTCCCGAATCTGCAGCGACTGATATTGGGTCGACCGTGGAAACTGCCGTGGAGGGAGGACGGTCTCCTCCAGGCAGGAAGAGCGATCAGGAGTTACCCAGAAATAGGTCAGCACCTTTGGGTCTGGCCGCTGAATGGATCCGTTTAGAAAAGATGGGCCTCCCACAGGATGTGGTGCGTACGTTCAGGGCGCACGAGCTGCTTCCACCACAACACTGTACACATCAAGTGGACAGTTTTTCAGCGCTGGTGTGCAGAGAAAGGCGTAGAGGCCATCTCATGTCCACTAGGTGGCATGTTGTCCTTTCTGTAGCAGCGGATGGACAGAGATCTAGCGTTCAGTAAAATTAAAACTTATGCTGCAGCTATTTCTTCCTGTCAGGAGTTTTTTCGGTGACAGAACAGTTTTTAACCACCCGCTGATGAAGTGTTTCCTGAAAGGTGCACAGAGACACAGACCTGTGTCACGTCCACTAGCTCCACAGTGAGACCTAATGATGGTCCTGCACGCTCTGATCAAAGCTCCTTTTGAGCCTTTAGATCAGGTTTCACTTTAATTTCTGTCACTTAAAACAGCCCTGCTGTTAGTTCTGATGTCAGCAAACAGAGTGAGTGATTGTCTGCTCTCTCTGGTGCTCCCTCATGTCTCAGAATTCAAGCTGACGGCAGTTCAGCTGCACTGCGTCTTAACCCTGCTCTGAAAAGCATCACAAGCTCATTCAGATCGAGAGTGATAACCTTGGATGGGTTTTATCCTCCTCCTCATAATTCTAAGGAGGAAGCAACATCTCACCTCCTCTGTCCCATACGCACATTTTTCATGTTCCGTTGCGCACACGGCTGCACTGCACCACTTTCAGCGTATGTTCGTGCATTACAGGGACAGCTCTTCAGGACGTCCTCTATCCACCCAGTGCCTCTCACACTGGTTGTGTGAGGCTATTTCTGAAGTTTAGAGTTCATCTGGACTGGATCCTCCAGAGAATCTCAGCACATTCCTCCAGAGGGTTTTCATCCTCCGTGGCTCTGCATGGAGGGATGACAGTGGAGGACATTTGTATGGCGGCTGCCTGGTCATCGCCATGTTCAATTATTCGTTTTTATCTACGTGATGTTTCTACTTTCTCCATGACCCATTCTGTTCTCAGGGTTCTGACAGAATGATTATTTGTTTCACGGAGCCTCACTTTTGAGCTCACACCTGCCTGCATGCAGTCGCAGTGTGAGATATTTATTATCAGTCACAAGTTCATGACTGCTGATTTTATTGTTATTAATCGGTTCATCCTGAGGGGCTGTTGGTCTGCTCTGTTCATCGTTACACTGTTACAATCCGTATCCTCCGTTGTTCCTATTCACAGCAGCAGCTCTGCTATCTCAGCCTTTTCCCTCACCAGAGATCTTTTCTCCGGTGCGCTCCTGCGCATGGAGCATGTAATTTCGCACACAGAAGGCTGAGTGATGAAATGAGTTTTTGTGCAAGCAGGCGCTTCATGTTGTGTCTGAATGGACCCAGTGAGGCATAGACTACATCCTGCTTCGCCTTTAACCCCCCAGCGACAGCCTTAAAGGGCTGCGCCTATACTCATAGAATCTGTGGTTACAGTACGTAACCAAAGGTTTAAGGAATTAAACTCTCTGTTCAATTCCAGTCCAGAAAATTCATCTTGAAAACGACAAACGTTCTCTGTTCAATCAAATCCCACAGTTTTCACTGGCAGGTTTTCTGATGAGGGATTCATTTCAGCTGTTTTTATCTACAGAACTGTGAAAAAACTAAAGTTGTTCGTTTTTTAATTCAAGAAAACAAACTTTGCTGTCATCTTTTAAATAACTTTTCATGTTTATTCTTCTCACCATTATTGTTTTAATAAAAATTCTTAAGCTTTCTGAAGGCCTTTAAAAGTATATATTTTAGATAAATTAGCTGTTTTCTCATTTTCAGTCCAGTTCCTGGCATCATCTACAGTGTCTGTGAAAACTGATGGTATATTGTTTTATTACTGTCATCCTGATCAAAATGATCTCCCCTGGAGTTTGTCTTGATAGTTTTAGACAAACTGGTCGAGATTTAATCTGAGTTTTCTTCAGCAGTTCTCTGTCACTCTCCCGTTAAGCTCAGACTGGTGAGGAACTCTGGCAACAGTTGCTGTACGCTCAGTCTCTGCGTCTCACCTGCTGAAGCTTGTAGCTCCTTCAGAGGTCTCGGGTGTCTCTCACAGTTCTCCTTCTTCAGTGTTTGTGTAAACGTTCTTACGGCGTCATTAATGATGAAAAGCCAGATAATAAATCACACCATAGATCCGGTTATTTCCACGTGAAGCTTGTGGCTGTAGTTCTAGCCTGTTTTTTAACATCTCAGCTCTTTGTGCTTTGTTTCAGCAGGCGAGTGACGGCTGGAGAGCTTTTCTTCTTCTCTCTGTCTGCCTCCACTTGTCCAGCTGGCTGCTGGTCATGTACTGGTCCTGTTGGTGCTGGCACAATCATCCTATAAGCAGGACTCTGCAGGCTTTTGTGAGACCTTCTTTCCCCCGCTGGGGCGCTGTGGCAGTCAGCGTCAACACAGAGTTCAGAAGAATAGACAAGTTTGCAACAGGAGTGCCTGGAGCCAGGGTTATTGTTACAGACAGCTGGGTGATGAAGGTGAGCAGCACGTGTTGTGACTAAACAATTACTACTTTTACATTAACTGTACTGTGTTTACTGCTTGCAGGGCAATTGAGCTTCCCATCCTCCTGTATGTTTTTAGTGCGGAGAACTCTCCCAAAAAATATTAGCGAACTTGAATTTACCAGGTTTAAATTTAACGGAAGCTAAAGATTTTCAAAGACAATGAAAACGCTAGTCCACTAAACGGATTGTTAGTTCAGCTGTTAGATTAGTGGAGCTGTGCCACCACTGGGAGCAGAGGAGGATACGTGGATCCATAACACAAGAACAGCACAGCCATTAAAATTGATCAGTAAACACTTTCAGGGCTGGGTGATGATTTAAAAACAGACTGTAAAGCCTCTAAAATAGTTCACTTTCTCAAAAGAGCCTTTGGTTGGTTGTAAACCACCTCTTCACTGATGTAAAAGAAGTTCTGAAAGAAGCCTGTAATTTGCATGAACTGCTGGGCTTTACGACAGTCAACCTGTAATCTCAGAGATTTTCAACTTCAACTTTGAGGAAACGATAACAGATTAAAAAAATACAACCAGAGGCGGCTGTGGGAGGAGATGTCTGCACCTCCATGCTCAAGATGCAGCCCCAAGACCTGACTGGAACAAGCAGAAGATGATGGATGGATGGATGGATGGATGGATGGATGATGGATGAATGGATGGATGATTGATGGATGGATGGTTGGATGAATGGATGGATGGAGGATGATG